GGTTTAGGGTTTTAGGTTTTGGGGGTTTAGGCTTTAGGGGTTTAGGGTTTAGGGGTTTAGGGTTTAGGGTTTAGGGTACTGTAGGGGTTGCCGGTTTCTATCTAAGAATTCTACAAGGGTTCCTTTAAAACGGGGTCTCAAGGGACCATAACGGAATACTATATAAGAGGTGGTCAGGGTTTATGGCTTTAGGCTTTTGAGTTGTGTTGCAAAGGGGTCTATAAGGCTTCCTTTAAAGGTGATCTATACGGGCGTGTAGGGTTTTGGGAGATTTCCACAAGAGTTACTCGGAGAGTACCTTGACGGTTTGTAATTGTAAGTGTCTTGGGGTTGCAGTGGCTCCTTGAAGTCAAATTTGGATGTGTTCGGGGTTATTAGGGTTCAGAGCTGGTACGGTTGGATGTTTGAGGTGTTGGCTTTTAGGACTGTCTCTAGCATTGGTGTTTGGGGCCCTAAACCCTAAACCCTAAACCCTAAACCCTAAACCGTTGGTTTTAAGGCTACATAAGGGGGTCTACGGTTTAGGGGTTTAAAACCTTAGAGATGGGGGTATTTAGGGTTTCATGTAGGGCTTTAGGGTTTTAGGGTTAGGGCTGTAAGGGTTTCAGTTGTGATTTAGGGTTTAGGGAGGAGTTTAGGGTTTAGGAGTTGTTAGGATGTATGGGGGATATTTGTTTATGGGTTAGGGTTTAGTGATTTAAGGGCATGGTATTTAAGTATCGGGCTGACGGTGCCCAAGCATCGAAACAGATGGTTTGAGGTCGCATGTTTGACTCCGAATGCTTGCTGGTGTCTGAAAGGCTATTTGGGTTGAGGTGTTGGCATGTGGGGTTTGGGAACTGAGCTGCCGTAAATAAGTCTTGTCAGGGGACTTTCAATTTGCTTATTGGGTTCAGGGTCTAGGGGCGTGATCCTACTTGGATGATCATGGGACTTAGTAACTAGAGTTATAAACAAGGAAACTATAATTATAACTCCAATTAGGGTACTTATAACCTTACCTACTAAGTCGCATGATCCTCCAAGTAACATGCCGTGAGTCAGAACACCCTCACAGAGAGCGCTTGCTAATTGCCAAGCCCATAAAGGAGACTTGGAGTTCATGACTTTCTTCTGCAATCTCTTCGGGTCTATGCAACAGCTCCGCCTAATTTTCCGTTGCAGTGAGATAGAGCTGGGAATCCCAAACCCGAAAACCCTCATCCCCAAACTCTGAGTAAGATCACCAGGGTTTTTTCAACTCTACCTGCCATTGCCCACAGGAGGATGGCAGATGATTCCCATGACCGTGCTGCATCCCACCACGGTGTTGGAAAGTCCGAGCCGGTAAGACGTCACCCGGCATGAGTTACTACGGTCCAGGGTTTTGGGGCTTCAAAGCTAGCTTTGTTGGAGGAGGCTCTTCCATATAAAGCTGACACTCAAGACAAAGAAGGCTGCCGTCATCATTACGGAGACCCCTCAATCCTCAACACCTTAACTAAACCCTAGACCCCTAGACCCTAAACCCCTAAACCCCTAGACCCTAAACCCCTAAACCCTAAACCATAAACCCTAAAACCCTAAATCCTACACCGTGTTGGGAAACCGGCTTTAGGGCTGAGGGGTCGAAGGTTCAGGGCCCTCAGCCTCTGAGGCATGCTTCCACTTTGTAAAAAAGAGTAAGGGTTTAGGGGTTTAGGGTTCAGGGTTTAGAGTTTAGGGGGCCTTAATATTTAGAATAAGGTTTCGGGNNCCCCCCCCCCCCCCCAAAAGTAGTACAGGTAATTCTTTAGGGCGTTTCAGTAAGTTGACATGTTTCACCAGGAAAGGCCAGCACCTTGACCTTACTGAACCCAACGTGCCCGAAAAGTTGGCCTAGCTGCTGAGTATGTAAGCTGTAACCTGTGTGGCCGTATAACCTAGACCCTAAACCTTACTGGAGACTCCAATATCCCTTAATTA